CGTAACTCCACCGCACCGTCATATCGACTGCTGATCGCTACAGGGTGGGGCGGCGGGGCGCGGCGGGCGGAACTTTGATATGAAAAGTTTGCTGGTTCGACTGTTGGCTTTTAGGGTCAGGGAGCGACGGGACAGCGGCGGCGGGGGCGACAGGCCGACTCGCTGTCCGCCATGCTAATGCCCCTGGCCCGCGCTCGGCCGGGCGGACGGACAGCCCCGGGGAGGGGCCGCGCGCTTTGGACAGTTTGCTGAATAGGCGGCAGCGTGGCTCTCCCTCTACCGCCCCGCCCAGGTCGCCCTCCTGAAGACGCGCGACGGAGTAGACGCGAAGACGAAGAAGTATAGTGGGAGGAGGACAAGGAAGGGACAGGGGATGAAAAGAGGGCGCGATTGATTGAAAAATGCTCACAAAAGAGTAGCAGTGATTATGCAGAAAGTTTTTACCGGGGATTAAAAAATACGGCGGCCGGAGAGAACGGCTGCGGGCGGCGCGGGGCCCTGCTGTGCCGTGGGCGGCGGGGCGGGGAGCGCGGAGCGATTTGCGTTCCGTTGTCGGATGAGCGGTGTGCCGTGGGGAGAGTAAGTGAGGGAGGGAGAAGTGAAAAGATTGCGGAATTTGTCGATTGGCCAGGTCCTAAGCCGATATAACACGGTGCTGGTGGTGATGGTGGTGGTGGCGGTGCCCCTCTGGGAGGGTGACAAACGCGGCGGTAGATGAGAATCGCAGCAGCACGCCCCGACGAGCAAACGTTGTCGTGCGTGAATTTTATTTTGTGCACTCTATCATTGTGCTTTCCTTTCTAAAAATAGCGAATGGCTACTACAGTTACACCGAGAAAAAAATTCTCCCCTAGGATAAGACAGTTCTCTATTGCGTCGTATTTTGATCCAGCACTACACATTTCGTTCCCGCGATATCAGAAACTTTGGTGAGAGGCAATGAACATGTGAGGCCAGGCAACAACATTTTTGTCTCTAGAGCAAATTGTTTAGTGCGTCAAAAACTTTCGGTCTGGGGACTAAAAGTCCAGTGCCCAGGACTAAATTTTTCTCAGTGTAGTTGTACAATTTCTTCACAAAATGTATCCCTCAAAATCGTATTCTAAAATATTTTTGCGCCCACTGCTTCGACAGTCCTCTTTCCCCTGTAGCTTCTCCCCCCGGTCCTCTCTTCCCACTCTCTCAAATATAAAATATTCCTTTCTGTTTCGCCCAGACGGACCTCACATGAGAAAAAGGGGCAAGACCATGCGAGCGCAGCAGGGCTGCGCAGCCGGTAAAGAGCCCCGGGCTGGCCGTCGGGCCCCGGCGTAGGGTGGTGTGACTCCCACTGTAGTCGAGCTGCCCGTGTCCTCCGGGCAAGGGGGGGGGGGGGGGGCGAGGGAAGAGAGAGAGAGAGAGGGGGAGGGGGGGGGGGGGAGAGGTCGCGTGGTGGTGTTTGGCGTGATGTAGAGCATGGACCCTGAAAAGGGGGCGCAGAAGGGATGTGCGGGCGGACGGACTCTTTTGTTCCTCTTCTTGTCGTTGTATGCGATCTCGTGCCGTACTGACGTGAGCGTTTGTCTCTCTCTTGTGTCCGCAGGTCTGGGCTGGGTCGGCTGGAAGAACGAGTCCCGTGACGGACAGCCCATCGAGATCAAGTTTGAATTCGACAAGGTGCGAGAGTTCAAGGCGGTGCACATCTTCTGCAACAACCAGTTCATGAAAGACGTTCAGGTGAGTTACCAATCATCATTTTTAGTCGTAATTTTTTTGTGTTGTTGACGGATTTAGTTTTGTGTTGCGTACATGACGGCCACCTTTGTGGCGGCTGTCAGGCAGGACCCTCGCCCTCCTCGCCACCCACCGTGCCGCTGCGCGTGGCGGTTTGACTGACTTGCGCTGGCTAATTTAAGTTGGCCATCTTGAGTTGTTGTTGTTCACGGCCAAGTTGCCGCCCCCGCCCCCGTCTACCGCCCTGCCGCCGCCCTGCCGACGACTTCCTCGAGGACCGACGGGGACGACGGGGGCCCTATGGGCAGAGGGGGACGTGCGACGCCACGGTCGAGCGGCCGACTGACAGCTCGGGGGGGATATCTGACGTAGAAAGACGGCGCGGGAAAGGGAGGGGCGTCTCTCTCTCTCTCTCTCTCTCTCTCTCTCTCTCTCTCTCTCTCACAGCGGTGGGGGCGGCAATGAGGCGTCTCGCTGATGGTTGCTCCGACAACCGTACCGAGGTGGGTGTTGCCCCTGCGTCGCTAGGCAACCCCGAGGGGGGTTGGTCTGGGGGTGTGGAGGTCCTACAGAGGGTGAGGGAGAGAAAGAGCAGGGGGGGTTGCCCCAAGGGCAAACTACTCAGGTGCGACGCGTTGCCTCGGCCGCCACTCACCGCGCTAAGTGCATTTTATAATTTTACTCGGGGAGGGGAAGGTGGGTGAGGGGGAGAGGGGAATGGGATCGAGCTCATCAGCCAGAGAGAGGAAGGGGGTGGGTGGAGAGGGCGGGAGAGTTGGAGAGTTGGGTGTGAGAGCAAGGTAGGGCCTCGCCGCGGGCAGACCAGCGCGCGCTGCCTGCCTGCTTGCTCTCCCGCTACAAGGGGTGGTCGGTCTGATATGAAGTTGGCGTTTGGCCGTTTTTCTTTTTGAAGAGCGCCCTCATCCCCTGCCGCTCTCCCTGCTCCCTTCTTCATTCTGCTCTCCCCCTTCGGTACGGCCTGCTGCAGCGCACGACGACGAATGAAGGTTCCTTATCACGGCAAAGAGAGAAGGGGCGTCGTACCTGCAGCGAACGTCGACCCGCATCGCAGTGTCCGAGGACGTCTGTCTGCTGCTTGCATCCTCCTCCTCTCTCTATCCCCCTCTCTCTCAACCTTCCTCCAACTCCTTCCCCCTACTAACTCGCTGTCT